GGGGGGTTGGTGAACTTGATAGATTTTTGCTTCAGCTACTGCCTACTTTTTTGTTAACATTTGAAATTCCTTAATATCTTTTTCTGTAGGGTTTTCCAGATGGCCGGCCATTGAGCCTTTCCAAACAATACGAGTAATTATAAAACTCTAACATAAACTATCAAGACTTGTTTAACAATGGTGTAATGGAAAACATTTTCTGTAGATGGACAAGACCTGTTTAGTATTGGAAAGCATTTTACATTTTGTTCCAAATTCAAAACAGAAACCTGGAATGCAGGCCTTTTTTAGAATTTAAAAAAAAAAAGTGAAAATGGTTGATATTTTGTACCACTTTCCCTGTTCATCCCCTTAATCACCAAAACTTTATCCGGGGTCTGTCTGGGGTCTGAGATTGTCTTGCCCTTATCTGGCTGCAGTTCAATACCAGTATCTGCAGCCTACTCTCTGTGTTGCTCCCGCTCGCCTTAAACAATCTCCTACCATAAGCCCGTGCCTCCTTCAAAGTGGTGTTGGAGGTCCCAAGCCAAACCCATGTCCCTTTCCATTTCATCACAAATGTCCCCAATGAACTATCTAGCAGCTTCTCTCTCACATTCTTGTAGTGCCTCAGTGTCTCTTCTGGCATTTTAAAATGCAATCACTCGCTAAATAGCCCCCACCTCTCCTTAAGCATACGCTCCAGCTTTACTAATTTCTTCACTGCAGGTTTGAGAATTGCAATACTTTAACTGGATTTTCTATCATTGGTAGGAATTGTATAGAGGTTTGAGAATTGAACAAGGAATGAAAATTTAAAAAAGGGAATATGGAGAAATACAGATGAAGAATGACCTCTGTGCTCATATGTGCTTCTCCATTCAGAGAACATCCTAAAATGGTTACCGGCCTGAAATTTGGAAACTTTTTTTTTTCAGTTTGAAGAATGGAAACGACTTGAACACAATCTCCATTATCTTTATCAGTTAGAAAATGAAAATAACATAAACACAATGTCCCTTCCTTTTCATTTTCCCAAAGATCGTTTATTTTTGTACTACCCCAACTGAGCAAGCCCTCGACCACTCACATTTTCCTACATTTTCATTTTTGTAGCTTCATGAAATAAAAATTTCACTAACTGATCATATTTTTTTCATTGTTTCAGTGAAGCATGCTCCAAATTTATATCATTGTGCAAGAAAAGGCCAAACCTAATCAACCAATGGAAGGCATGTGGAGCAGCAGATGGACATGCAGTAAGATCTTCATACGGCTCAGATATGTCCCTAGATGAAGACCCATCTACTCCAGAACAACAATGCGCTATGATGCAACCAAACAGCCAAGACTCGGGTACAATGCATCAGCAACCCCCTCCTCTCCTTGACCAGTCCAGTGCTTCTGTTAATCAAATCTTGAAACCCTCTTCTGCTGACTTTCATCAGCAACAGAGCAGTGGGGGGCCAAGCATTGAGTCAGAAGAGAAGAGCAGTGAAAAAAATGATTTTGATCAAACTGAGCAGACTCCTACTAGTAGGCAGATAAGACGGCTAAGTGTGCAGGACCGCATCAACATGTTTGAGAACAAGCAGAAAGAGAATTCAGGGGGTGGGGGGAAGCCAATCGTGGGAAAATCTGTGGAGCTTCGGAGGTTGCCAGTTGCACCATCCTTAGTAGGGGAGAAGGCTATCTCAAGGAGATGGAGTGGTGCCAGTGACATGAGCATAGATTTGAGCACTGAAATGAAGGATGTTGAGAGTCCTTTGTTCACCCCATCTTCTGCTTATGCTTCTAAGTCCAAGCATGAGGACCAAGCAAAATCAGGTTTTACTGATATGGAACAAAAATTAGCTGACATGGAGTTCCAAAGTGTGCCAGATCAAGTTAGTGATATCAGAATGAATGAACATGAAGACTTGAAGTTGCATGTTCAAGATTCTAATGCCAGGGAAGAATCAAAACAGTTAAGTGCTCCGTACAAGAAGGTAGAAGATTCTCAATCTATTAACTCAAAGTGTAATTATTCAATTGCTGTAGAGAAAAATGGGCAGAAAGATAGTAGTCAAAAAACTAGTGAGAAGACCAAGTCACATTTGAATTCAACTAGAACAGGGAAAAGTTTGAAAGAGAGACCAGAAGCTCAAGGGCTGTTTGGATCATTACCTTGGGACAAACCCAGAAAAGTTGGTGTAGCTATTCAAGGAAATTCCACAGGTTGTCAGGGAAGTGATGGAACTATTGGGGCTAACAAGAGAGCAGTTCATGAGTCTGCGATCACTGCATTGAACAGAAACTCTTTTCTGGAACAGTATCAAACTTCTGCCAGCTTGGCTAGTAAAGATAATGCAACCCACCATATTGTGCATCACAGCGATGAGGAAGGCTCACAATTGGGGGATGAATTGATGTCTAAATCACAATATAATGCTCCCCAAAACACTAAAGTGGACTTCGGGTCTCTGGAAAGTGGTTCCATCTCAAGAGCTTTCTTGACCCCTCAAGCCAAAGGGGTTGAAGGAGGTTCTTCCTATTCTGAATCCAGATTGCAGCCATCAGTAGAAATTGAGGAAGCTGAGAAGGAAAAGGTCTATTTGGCTGAGAATAAAAATCTTAGTTCTGGATCAAAAGTTATTTCAGCAGGATTCGCAATTATGAATAAGAAGCAAGTTGTAGGAGTTGATGTGAAAAAACAATCACAAGATTGCATAGAAGAAATGATTTCTGTTCCTCTAAATCACAAGCAGTTTGTCTCTGCTGGAGTGGTAGCAGAGGAGGAAGGATCTATGTCACTTTTTACAACCCCTGTACAGCAAGTTCGAAAGATACGACAGTCCAAAGGAAACCAGGAACTTAATGATGAGTTGCAGAACAAAGCAAATGAGCTTGAAAAACTCTTTGCTGAACATAAACAGCGTGCTCCTGGAGATCATTCAAATCCTACCCGTAAAAGCAGGCTTACTGAAATGCCAGCCCAGGAACAAGCAGGTTCATTGTATACCACTCATGTAAGAACTGCTGCTTCTGTCCAGTTGCCAGACAAATACATGGTAACTGATGCAACTGTGACTTCTTCAAGTTGCATGGTTAATTGTGATAATAATGTCACTGAAGTGGGCGACAATAAAGGGTGTACAGATGTTTTAAACGAGAATTTCTCTGAGTTCAGTGCTTTAGAAGGTTCTCGTGGAAAACTTTATGTGACATATATGCAGATAAGAGATGCAAAACTAAGGGAAGAATGGAATTCTAAGCGAGATGAGAAGGAAGCCAAGCTAAAGGCTATGCAGGAAAGCCTGGAAAAAACTAGAGATAAGATGAAAGCAAAGTTTTCAGGATCATCATATAAAGATGATTCTCTTCCTACTGCACATAGACGTGCAGATAGACTAAAGTCATTTGATACCAGGTCAATTTTGAGGAGAGAGAAGGTAAATCATTAGTTCTGACAAATGCTTGTAAATGTATTTTTTTTAATGGAACAAGATATTGTGTGGTTTAGTCTTATTTCGTTCCTTTGTTTTATATCAACTATGTTTCACCAACCATGAAGCTCTTTTTGACAGCAACAATTGGATTTTGATCAACATGAAGATGAAGTAACCGAAATTTGCAACCAGGAACAGTATGGTGAACGAAGGTATTCAAGTGAGAGAAGAGAAGCACTTTTTGAGGATGATGTTTCTAGAAGCAATCAGACTCAGAAGCTTCTGCCTGCTATAGGTCCATCCTCTTCTTCACCTCGCCCATCAGCAGCACCTGTTATTAGGTCAGCTGCCAAAGCTACTACTAGCAATCCTGGTCGGAGGAGATCCCAAATTGAAAATCCTCTTGCACAGTCTGTCCCTAACTTCTCAGATTTGAAAAAAGAGACTAGGGCTTCCACAACTGTGGGTAAAACAGCACGATCTCAACTAAAAAACTATGCTCGCAACAAACGTATTAGTGAAGAGACCCCCATTAAGGAGGATTTATCTTGCAGATCACAATTCCTAAGAAAAAGCACCTCAAATCAGGGGGCGTTTGGTGAGGCATCTGTTATAGATTGTGAAGATGGCTCGACTTTTGAAAACGATGAGATGATTGATAAAGTAGGGAATAATGTGGCTTTCCACAAGGGTAAAAGTGAAAATGCTAGAGTCAGTTTTCAGAAGCAGAGGAGATTCATAGGATCTCAGAACATGAACAGTGATGGAAATTACAATGATGCAGCAGTGCATGATTCAGACAGCCCAATCGCCCTTGTAAAAGACAGAGATGGCATGTTTGAGAATTCTGAGCATATCTCTAACTTAGGCAATGTGGATTCAATATTGACCCACGAATCAGGTAAGTCTGCAGGTTTTGGATCAGAGAATGATGACAATCTCCTGAGGTCTTTTTCTCACTTTGACCCACCGCTGGACTCAGCAGAACAGTTGCAAGATAGGCAAAGCCCTGTTTCATGGAACTCTTGTGTCCGCCATCAATTTTCCTATTCTAACGAGATGTCTAATGTTGAAGCCTATGTGGACTCATCTCCACTGGGAAGCCCTCCTTCATGGAATTCCCACTCACTAAAACAAACAGAAGCATATGCAGCTAGGATGAGGAAAATGTGGGGAGCTGCACAGAAGCCCGTACTTGTTGCCGGTTCACATAATCAGCCCCGCAAGGACATGACTAAAGGATTTAAGAGATTGCTGAAATTTGGAAGGAAACACCGTGGTGCAGAAAATTTGGTTGACTGGATTTCTGCCACTACTTCTGAAGGAGACGATGACCTCGAAGATGGACGGGATCCTGCCAATCGGACTTCGGATGATATGAGGAAGTCTAGAATGGGCCATTTGCAAGGGCAACCTTCTGATGATAATAGCTTCAATGAACAGGAATCATTTGCCGGGCAACGTGAGTTATGCCATTTATTTACCCCTATAATTCTTAAGGTTCATGGAATTCGTACAATTTCAACTATTCATGGGTTTCATTGGTGGATACAACATTCTACTGTTTCTCACGTAAATGAAACTGGGCAGATGATTATACATCTCTTAAAAACTCTATCCCCGCCGAGTCGCCGACATTCTCTTATGTCTCAATAAGAGAACACCATTACATATTCACACAGCCTATAAGCATGTGCTGTTTTTATAGTTTCTGGTGCAAGACCCATTGTATAGCATATACATCAGCCATTGGCTTTACTGGCTTTATATCTTCTCGTTTTTACCAATCTGTTTTCCAACAGTTTTCTTTTATATTCATTTTTCTGTTTCATTAGTTTTTATTAATGCCTTAAAGCAAATATTGCTATTTTTGTAGTTCAATCAATCCGTGGCTCTATACCGGCTCCTCCTGCTAACTTCAAACTTAGGGATGACCATTTGTCTGGGAGCTCATCACTAAAAGGTAATTCATCAACTTTGTCCCCGTGTCATTCACTAAATTAGAAGTAAATTTGTTTCTCTTTTTGTTGATTTTGTCCTCTCATTTTCTTTTCCCTCTATTCTTTTTACTTATCCTCTCTAAGCAAACAAAAAAATTGTTTTCCATATCATTTTCTTTTCCCTCTCAAATTCCTTGAACCAAACATAGTGTAAATGACAATGGTTGTGGTCTTTGGATAGATAAATAATGAGTCATGGAAATGTATTACCTTAGAACTTTATTTAGTATGACACATTTTTAGCGTAACAATTCGTGTGTTGACATTCACATTCATTTTACAGCTCCAAGATCTTTTTTTTCCTTGTCATCCTTCCGGAAATGACTCAAAGATCAGATAAGTGTACACCCAAAAGGATGGGGAACCAATCACAGATGGGAGGAGATATGGTAGGTAGCTGGTGTTGAGGTACAATTTTGTGCCAAAAAAAACTCGTTTGTATATTTTAATAATAATAACAATAATATATCTCCGTTATTGGATTGTGTTTCATCATGTATTCAATCAACGTAGAGTTTCTTTCGGACCACGACATACATGTATTGAGGAAACAAATTCCAATTGGCGGAATATCTATATGCAATTTTGGCAGTGTAAGTCTTCATTCTTTTTTTTTTCCTATGCTGCACGTATCTCCCACACCTGACCTGTGCAGTGTTTTATCAGTTTGGTTTTCGTTTATGGTGAGCGCGTGCTGCTCCATTATAAATGCAACTTATATGGTACATCTTTATACATCGGATCACATATTTGTAGAATCTTTTTTTGACAATTTCTCATTGTTTGATGTTTCCGTCTCTACATTGTCACGCAATTCTTAAGGAAAGGTACGCTTTGTCTGAAGTTCATTACGCCATAACAAGTCATCAAGCCTTTGGGTTTAGTTGTCACCAACCTTTACATTATTAAAACTTAATGAAAACATGTAAATTCACCCGCGTACTACAACAGACATATTTAAAACAAATCTCACAATAAGTAAGTTTGGAAATGGTGTTTATACACAGACTTTATCTCTACTCAAAAATATAGAGGTTGTTTCCAAGAGATTTCTAGCTTATTGATAATAGAGGCATAAACAAAGCCCCTGACCCTTAGTGCGCATCCTCATACCCATCCCTAGTGCCCGCTATGTGTTTGTTAAAATCACTTCCAATTATTATTTTCTCTGCTTTTGAGATTCCATAACTTCAATGCCATACTTGTTTCTCGAAACACCACATTACCACAACTTGAATGTGCCACATTTGTAAACGAATCATGCCTCAAATAAGATGGTGTTAGAATTGAGGTCCAAATTGGAATCTTATAGCATGGTTTGATAAAACAAGCTTTGTCGAAATAATAAATACGAGGACATGGCCTAATCCAAACCCATTTTATTTTAAGTAGAGGTTATAGTCGTACAAAAATTTAAAAATGTTAGAACAAAGAAATATCTACTTATTCCAAATACCAAATCACTCCTTCTATGTCACTGTATTTGTTCAGTTAAATACTTTTAAATCAAATGGAATGAACATTAATCATTAATTACTCTACGTTTGATTACGCCATGGTCATGAATGCTACAGATGAAGTACAGTTTATGTATCCAACAAGCATTCATACTCATATCCGCCCCTTTGGGTTAGGCCATCAGGTGCGCCCTCATTTTTTCCCCTTTTCCCTTTCGCCAACTCAGCGTCATGTCATCTTCAGTTTTCCCTTCCCCTTCCAGGGAAATGCCTTCTTCTTTCCCCTTCAATTTTTAATAATATCTTTTAACAGTTATTTTATTTACATTCCCCTGTGGAGCCAAAGATTCATTATTTTTTGGTTTTGGGGTATGATGGAATAAAGTAAATTGGCTCTTTCAACTGTTTGTGCTTCTTGCAATTGTGAAGTAACAGTTAGTTAATGCAACTTTCGACGTTCATCATAGGTCAATTGGAAACAGTTGCTCTATGTTTTAAACATAAGGGTCATACTGCGCATACACCCGAAGTTGTTAAGGCATTTGTTATCGCACAAATTGCCTTAACAAATTGAGCGATATATAACATGATTTGGTTTTTCCAAATTCCAAGAGTTGGTTATGAGGAAATACTTTTGCCTGTAGGGAACGTGATAATCGTTAGAATTTTCATTGGCGCCACAATCTAAAAAAGAACTTCAAATGTGAAATGGATGTCGTCACAACATATTTATAGGGGACACTTAAAAATGATACTTGTACGAATTCTAAGAGCATTAAACTTTGAGATGTATGTGTTATAATACTAAAGAGATCGTTGTATGGTCTTAAGTAATTTGGTCGTATGTGGTACACCCGGTAAGTATCTTGAAAAAAGAGTAAATTCTATAATTGGTTCTTCATAACAGGAGATTTTCCATATTTAATCCTCTATTATCAAATATTTCGATAGTGGTCTTTCTTTTATGAGTAACTTTCCACAGATAGTCTTTTTTTGAACTTTTGTTATGTTGGTGTTTATTTGAAGGCTAATATCATAATTTCACATCAACTCTGTGTCGAGTGACATATTTTGATGTCTGCTTGATGGACAACACAATAATAATGTAAACTATGGTTCTAGTAGACAGCGACTTCAGTTAACAAATGATACATCACCAACGACCTCTTGTTAGACACCATGCACGCCTCTAGAGGGTGTGAATAGAGATGTTTCCCAAAATGTGTGATTTTTTGTAGAAGCATCCTCCATAAAATCTTGATCAAAACCAACGCACCACAAACAAAAGAAAGTGTGAGAAAATAACAAGGAACACAACGATGTATACTGGTTCGACCTAATACCTACATCCAGTCCCCGAAGCAAACGTGTTCGAGCCTTCACTATCAACCCGTCAAACTTAATAGAGTTTGATAATCCGAATATAACTTAAGAACTTGATTTTGCAAGTCTCTTATCCGACCACCGAGACCTTGATTTCACAAAACTTAGGATTTATTCCATCTAGCATTTGATTTTACAAACCAATATGATTTTTACAAATCCACTTGACGTAATCCCTACATCAAGGGTTACAATTCCCTTACACAAAGTAAGAAAACAAATTATAACCAAATAATTCTTTAAATCTCTCAAGGACTCAGTAATGAGGGTAAACTCAAGTAAGAAAAGATTTAGCAATCAAAACATTCCCTTGCTTGGATATCAGAAGGGGATTGAGTGGAATCTCTTTGGATAATCAAAGGATATGTTAACGAATGTGTTCTTGGTGATTTTTCAATTATAAACACGAATGGGGGAGGTTAAGAGAAGTTAGGGAGAGGTTATTGATCAAATGGTTTGAAAAAACTAGTCGCTTGGAGGTTGAAACTATCGTACTAATTGAATAAGTCTTCATTTATTTGAATAAACCAGTCTAGTGAAATTTCCTGGACTAAAAACTACTTGATTTATTCGAATTAATGGAGATTCACTCAACTAGATCAGTACATTTTTCGTCAGGGAAAAAATCACAACTTATTTTAATAAATCAAAGGTTGTTTGGATAGAAGAACAACTTCTCCATACAAAGGTTGATCTAAAAGGTGTTTTAAAGGTAAGATTATGAAGGAACAAACCTTAGAGATGTCATACTCTTTAACAAACATTCTAACACCTAAAAGACTACCCAACCAAGATAAGAGTCTTTGTTCTCGATCCTTCAAAAGATGCTCAAGTCCCTGATTCACATACGAATATGAACGTGTTGAAACTCTTGAATCTTATCCTTGATGCTCAAGTATGATGTTGGTATTTTCTCACCTTTTTGTCATTATCAAAATCTTCAATAGAAGAAAGATTAGGTATGCCAAGAAAGATATATGATAATTGTGAAATTACACTTTTAGCCTCAAATTAACACCAACATGACAGAAGGTCATAAAAAAAACTATCTGTAGAAAGATACTCATAAAAGAAGAACCATGAGTGTAACATTTCATAATAGAAGACTAAACATAAAGACCCCCTTTTATAAATCACCAATTATAGAATTTACTCAAAAAGTATATAAAAATCTCAAATCAAGCTATGTGTTTTTCGCTAAACGATCACCCTAAAAATTCACAATTAGAGAAATTTGCGTCGACATATAAACATTATTAGATCTTTAGAAGATATATAAAAAAAATGTTGAACTCTTAAAGACGGGATTTGAGATGGAAGAACTTGAAATGATAGAATTATGCTTCAGTTTGGATTTTGAACATCTATGCAAGCAAATTTGTCTAGGAGTCAAACCACTTCCAAAAGATGCCAACACCCTTTAATATGGACAAAGTCCATCGGTTGAACATGCCACATGGTTCTTCAATCATCTCATATACATAAAAATCTCCATCGCTCCAAGAAGAGGGTGAAGATGTACTTGGAGTAGAAGTATCATATTTATGTGTGATCTTAAACATGTTAAATATTTACAAATTGTGATATAATAAAAGTAAACATATATGATAATAGATAAGTTATATTATTAGTAAATTAGTGTTCTTTATTAACATTTTATAGTTAATCCAGTTTAAGGTTTAGTACGAGTCCGATCTCATTAGGTCAAGTGGTGTTACTCTTACTCTCTATATATTGTAATCCTTTCTCATTATTATTTAATCAATTAGAAATATCAAAATCCTAAATCTCTCTTTTTTCTTCGGAGCCCAGAAACACTCAAAGTTTTCCTTCTCTCTTTGCCTCCTCTCTCTTGGAGCTTGAATATGCTCGAAGTTCTTCCATATCCCAATACGATTCGTACCAAGATTCGTATCAATTGGTGCTTTCATTGATTTGAACATAAAAACAAAAAAAAACATTTTTTTCCGATCAGATCACAGTCCATCCACCAAAATGGTTGCAGCCACCGATCACCAAAATTCCACCTTCAACCTTTCTGGTTGCCGCCCCCTTATCTGCAAACAAGAGTTCCATGACTCATTGTTAATCTTTGGGAGTATCTGATTGATTGCTATTTCAATTTATTTAGAAGAAAATTTTATTTGATTTGAACAATACAAAAAGGGTGGAATCGAATCACCACAAGAGAAGAATTGCCGAAAAAGAAATTGATAGAGAAGCCACGATCTAGATTTTGTGCCGCTCTAATTTGAAGAAAAAAAGGTGCTTTCAATTTTTAATTTTTTCTACAAATTATTTCGGATGCAATATAGGGATAAGCCATAAGGGGTGTATTTGCGGCACATTACTAAGTAATTTTAGGAGTAATTTGTGTATGGCAAATTTGAAAGTGTCATATCGTGGACGAATCCTGATCCCAACACCGAAGCGTTATTTGCCTCTACCGAAACTAGGATTCCCAACTGAGTACACAAATTGGTGAGAGATTTGTGCAAAATTTCAAGCTTTAATATTTTACTCAATCATTCGCT